ACACTTCACTCAGAGCTCTGTGGAAACAGTTGGACCCGGTCCTGGTGCCGAGACCCGCAGGTGGATATTGAGACCTTAAACAAACAGTATCATGTAAAACAGACTTTTTTAGCTTTGCATCATGTTGTGATGTTGTTCCCTCATCGGAAACAAAGCTGCATTGTTGCCTTGAGTATTTTATACATGTTTGAGAAATCCTTTAATCTCCATAGTAGCCATTCGGCCTTGCAAAACGCCAGGATGGACATAGCCCCGCCTTCCAGACGCAGCTCCTCCTCTGAGCTTCAGAGCTTCACACTCTGCTCCTTCAGACTAGCCAGCAGGACTTAGCATCTGCTGAGCTCATTGTAGGAGCTGCTTCTCTCTTCAATGCTGTTAAAAATGTTGTTAAAGGGACAATAGAGGAGCCATGTTGGGATGACTTCCTGGAGGCGGAGCTTCAGAAAGAGCAGGAGTTCCTTAAAGAGACAGAGGCCCAGTTTCTCGATGTTAAATCAAAAAATACACTGTTTTTAAAGTTGTGTTTGATATATACAGCATTTTTATAACTGAAGGTAACGTAGTTACTTCATTATTACATAAAATGATAATTTGTCCCTGGAAAATACATAATTCTGCCCTTGAAATGTTCGTGGATTTCTTTGTAATATAAACTCTGTTTTTGGATCAACTTGTAAGTAAACCCTTGTAGAGTAATGAAGGTCATAATCTTTGAAAGTACTACAAAGTATAAAAGCACTGACTGTGTTGAACAGGAGATGTTGCGGCTCCTTGAAGGACTCACCTTCCCCCATCTGCCGCTCTGCGGATGGCCCGGGTCCAGGCTTGTTCTGGTTCAGGTTCGCCAGCTGTGAGCGCTTTTAAATGGCACAAGGAGCACCATCTGCACCTGCTAATAGGGATGAGATGGGATGTAATGTAGTGCTAAATAATGGTGCTGGGATATCTGGCATCCTCACCTCCCACCGCATTAAAGCGCCATCACTTCCTGGAAGCCAGAGACGGCGCGGCCTCTTGGCCTCACGGGTCCGGCTGCATTCACGCTCCTGTGGAAATATCGATTCTTTCTTCTTTTAATCAGCCTTTCAGTCATTTTCTCCGTGGAGGAATCCGCTGTAATCTGTTGTCACATTTCACGTTGCCTCCTTTGTTATGCAGATGTTGCTCTGCTGGGAACCGCTCCAGTTCCCCCGAGACCCGGACCAGGCAGGAATCACACGGATACTGGGTTTTTATCCTCGTCTTGTAACACGTGTCAGACGCTGCAGCTCCTCTGGTCGGGACATCAGTTTACACGCTCAGCTCTTGTCACTTTGTTGTGTTACGCTGTCAGAATCACTATTTAAACTGCAGTTTAATCTGAAAAAGCATCAAAAAGTCTCTATTTTACCAAAACAACAGAGATGAAACCGTTTAGATGTCAATCTGCTGAACTGGGCGATTTGGGCTTTTAATTTGATCAAATATTTTGTGGCACTTTTGTGATGATAATAAAAAATGATAATAATGAACAATTTAATGCATTTTTTTTTTTGTGGTTGTGGATGAATAGCACAGCAATCATGGAGCCACAAACACAAAAACTGATCATTCATTTGACTTCAGGATTTATTTCACAAAACTGCACAAACTCACTAATATGTGGAATCATATTTTCACATTTGGCTACAATTATTGATCCTCTTTGGAACAAATCATTCAGAAAATATTAAAAATAAAATTTCCAATCATGTCAAATGTAGTTTTTAACATAATTAATGGAAATGTATTGAACTGATAAATGTAAATTATCATGAAAACATATTTTGACAATAAATTGTGAGCATCCCTCTATTCAATTGTGTCAAACATGAGGCCCGGGGGCCAAATCTGGCCCGCCACAGTGTATTATGTGGCCCAGTAAACGAATGAATAGAACCATCAAAATAACAGTGTGCTTAAATTTTACTTTATAGATCAAATCAAATCAGTTTTTGTCTACTTACTGCCAGATTACACCAAATTACATCAGGTTACATCAGATTATATCAGATTACATCTCCAGTTTTTTCCTAATTTCTGTGAAAAAAAAAATGTGAAAAAATTTCAGATCTCAAAATTTAGATCCAGCTGGAACTAAAATGATCCATATGGATCATTATAGTCCCTGACCCTGATCAATTCGGTGAGGAGTAAAATGCCTACTGTCGTACATATGTGCAATTATCACAGACATTTAGATTTTTATTGTAAATAATCACAAAACCCCGGAGGAACTGATTCTGGCACAACCGGCCCTTTAAGAGCGTCCATGATCCTGATTTGGCTCAAAATGAAAATGAATTTGGCGAACAGAGATCCGCCGGCGCAGCAGAAAGGGAAGCAGATGCTGCTGGTGGTCAGACCACAGCATGAACAGCAACCTGCAGGAAAACGCTCTGCAGAAGGTGGACTTCAGAACCGCAGCACAGCAACACTTTCTACTGGTTCACTTAAAACCTGGGAAACGAGCAGAACTCCACTAATTTACAGTTTTTCACCAGAGGCACAGAAAAACTCATTTCTGTTAATTTGCACTGCAAAAATACAAAATATTACCAAGAAACTTTGGTGAGCAGCCAGTTATAAATGGACAGAGAGTGAAATGAGTCAGCAGAGCCACTGAGTTAAACCAGGAAGAAAAACAGATTCAGAATTGAAGGAAAGAATAGAATTAAAAACAAACAGTTTGTATTTATTACAAACGGACAATAAAGGAAACCCTAAAACTGAACAATAAGAGACGTATAAAACAACATGGAGGAGGTTTCCATGTTGTTTCCTGCATTGAGTCTCGGTGCAGCGCCCCCACAGGTCTGGAGGGGAACAGGTTGCTGAAAGTGTTTTGCTTGGTTTGGCTCTGCAGTGAGAAATAGAATCTGAGAATGTAACAAATGCTGTAATTTTGATCCCCAAAGTAACAGAATCTACCGGATTATCAGGTCTGAAATCAGCCCAAATCTCAGGTTTCCCACGCAAATACAAACACAGGGTTTTCTCAAAGCTCCACTTTCTTTTATATAAATAATCATTTTAGTGTTCCAAAGCAGACTTTTCATCCTACAATGCATTTTGACCTTTGGGTGAAAGGTCAAAATGCATAAAAATGTTTCTGTTTCCAGAGATTAGACTAGAGCTGAGTCAGCCAAAAGTATTTTGTTGTCATGGCGCCTGCAGCCGATCCAGCTGTCAATCCTCAACTCTCCTCGTCTTTATCGTTCCACTTCCTGTCGGCCGTCGGACCCAGCGCCATGCGAGGCCTGATCCACGGCACGAGGTCGCGGGTTTACGAGTCCTGATGACCCTGAGCGGACCTGCAATGGTAAACAAGGGGATGGACGCTTCCACATGACATTGGGAAGAAGCAGCCAGTGGCCCGTAGCAGCTTCATTAACGCTGGAACATTAACTGTAAATCCAGGCGACGCCGCAGAGAGGCCTCAACGGCAGCTCAGGAGGGTCAATCTGCAATAAAAGGCGTCCCTTTTCACAGCCTGCGGCAGGAAGACCGGAGACCTCCCTCCACTCTACGAGCCATTAACTTCACCCTTTCACGGCGAGCAGCGCGGCCGGTAACTGAGCTCCCATAATCCCGAGCGCTTCCTTCACCTGACCTTCATATGCCCAAGGAAAGAGCAAGGATGGATGAAATGATGGGACAGCTGAGGAGAGGCAGCAGCTGTTGGGAGATAATTCAGTGGAGGGAAGGTAAAAACAGAGCTCGGTTGAGTATTTTGTAATTTAAGGGAAGTCGTCTGAAGGACGAGGATTAGCGCATCGAACGTCGACCCCAATCAATCCTGGAATTTTAATCGTGCTGGAGTTTTGGACCGCAGTATTTTCAGAATAAAGGCCGGGCTGCAAAGAAAAGTGTTTTCAGTAGGAAAAGTGCACTGAAGCATTATGATGAACATGTGGACTGGTCCAGTTGTGACGTGGATCTACGTTGTGCTTATTGTGTGTGGAGTTCAGCGGCGGCCGCCTGTTTCTACATTTAGCTGCAAGTTTTTGAGACACATTGAAATTGGTCTGATGTAAATATGGAACCACATCAAGAATCAGTGAAGGAAACGACAAACCCCTCTGAACCCGAGAGCAGCATCCTTCTTCGTGAAATGGATTTTCTCTTTTGTCGTGAGTCATTTCTCCTGCTGGCGTCAGACCGCCGTGTTGGTTTTGCTTGTATTTACCCAGAATGCCCGGCGCTGTCGTAGCGGCCTTTGGTCCGCTTGGCGTTCACATAGACATTCAACCGGACCCACCGTGAGGTTCCCCTGCATGCGGTCCTGACTCCAGACGCGGCGGCGGCTCTTTGTTTGATTCTGAACGACCCAAAGGGACCGAGCAGCAAAAAGCATCCAGAAATAGAATGAAAGCATAATTCAGCCTTGAGGAAGAACATGGCCGCCCTGCAGGCTCTCTGCTCACCTCATTGCTGCTACACAAACAGAAATGCTTTAGAGGGAAGCTGCGTTTGCTGGAGAGCCGTGTGAGAACAAACTCCTGCTGCTCTGCAGAATCAGGAAAAATCTCCACTGCATGTTTTTATTTTCCAACAGTTGTTTAATAATTATGTTTGGGATTTCAGTTAAAGCTCCATTATTATACAAAATTAAAGTTTTGCATGTCCCTGAGTCCAGCCCTGACCTGGCAACCCAAATGAAGCTTCAACCACTTCATTGCAAGCTGCATAATGGCTGCTGGAAAGGAAAAATCCGGTGTTTGTGAAAACATGTGAGACCCTGGGACATTAATGACACTGTTTTCATTTATTTTTTACATGTTGTGAGAAAAGCTTCTCTAAGCTCACAAATATGTCGTTTTGTGGATTTCTGGCAACTCCAAGTTGACGTATAAAGTTTTCACTACTCATTCCTTTACTTTGAATGGACACTTTCCTTTCTCCCAATTTATGGAAAAATAAATAATTAAAGACACAGTATGTAACTTCAATGAGAAAATTACATTCTTATTGAAACCAAATACAACAAAAGGTAAATTTAGTTTTATTTTTTACCAGTTTATGTATAAAATTATTCATTTACATTGTATATTGCAATACATTAATGTCAATATTGTCAGTGTCTGTGGTTTATTATTTTTATTCAGACATTTCTCATTGTGTTGAAGATTCTCCAACTAATGTTCTAAAAAGCCCAGATTTCACAATAAAAGCCCAGATTTCAAAGTAAAACAAAAGATACTTAAAATTTTACAGTTAAATCATTAAGCACAAAACAACCATTTAAATGCATTTGGCCATATTATTTGTCCGTAACCCCCGTCTTCATTAGCTGTAATGATTGATCGTAACCATGGCAACAGGGTGTTTGGTGAAGCATAGGAGTTGGATTAGCATATTATGCTAATTATATTATACTGTGGAATATTGAGTTTGGAAATGCAGCTGTTAGCATATCGTGACTCTCATACAGCAACAACTTCAGTCAGAGGCGTCTTCAGAATCCCTGCAACACTGACTGCTACTGGAGAGGCTTCCTGCCCACAGGAACAAACTGCTGTGTCATTTTGGAGGTTTTTACACAACTTTCCACTGAAGAAAAGTCACATCTTTTCTTGAGCTTTTGCTTTCAGATGAAACTTTTTTCCTCCAGTTTGATGAGCTGATTAGCAAACGTGATGATTTAATGATCAGAAATGCAGTTAAGTGGATCCAACTGCAGAACATGAGACGCTTTATGCAGAGGATCTGTGGAACTGTGGAAGTGCAGGGATGTGCAGAAACGCTGAAGGGGGAAAATGTTGTTTTTATTGTCCTGGGAACACAGTCGTCTCAGTACCAACATTCATTTCTGTGACATGAACACGGAGCATAATTTGGGCCGCAGTGAATCATTTAAAATCATTACGTTTGTAGGAATGGTGGAGCTGAACAGCAGAGCCACGGCGCCCTCTGCAGCTGGAGAGAAGAAGCGTTTTTATCTCTAATTTTAGAGAAATTCACCTTGAGCAGCTCTTAAATGCTTTTGTTGATGTTGTTAGGAAGGTCTGCTGGAACATTTTCTCTCCATCAGCTCTGTTGAGACATAAACTGCAGGTGCAGAAATTGGCTCCCAAACATGCACAGATGCCCGTCTGTGGTGGCGAACAGCAGCTTCACAGCAAACTGTCATTAAAATCCCGGAAAGAGACACGAGACTCATTTCCTGTCAGGAGAAAAACAGAAAATATTTCTAAATATAATACTCCAGGTGTTTAAATGAATTGGGGCTTAATACAAGGAAAGTGAAGGAAGTTAATACCAAACAATGACAGCAGCCTCTGGTCTTCTGTTTGTAAAGTTACACTGTCAAAAATTTACGGCAATAATTATTCAAATTATTGCTGTTAATTTCAGAGGACAAAATCTTTCATCTTTCAAAGTTAAATGTTTCACCATGTTATTCAGCAATTTATAAATGTCACAGTTTAAAAAAATAGAGTTTTTTAAGCTAATTAAATAGCAAACTAATTATCTTGCTAAGTAGCAGGCTATCTAGTTAACTTTATAAATAAACAATTTAGTTAGTTTGGTAGCTTACTGTTTAGCTTGTTAAATAAACTGTTCAGTAAGCTTGGTAGCCAAATAGCACACTAGCTAGCTTTCTAAAAAGCAGGCTATTTAGTTAGCAGTAATTTGCAAATTACCTTAAATATTTAGCTAATATGTAAATTACTGCTCCTAAATATTCAAATTCAAAAAACTGTTAAAATATAAATAAAAATTTTCATTACTCTTACCTTGAACTCATTGTTGATGTTCAGATTTTGAGTTAAAACCTGACATTCAGTTTTAAATAGTTTTTTAGAAAAATGCAATAATTTTGACCCTTTTTTGGCCCCATAGTGTCGATGTTCACAGAAAACCTGCAGCTGAATAAAACTCTGCACTTTCAACACTAAAGATGATTTTCCGTGTGAGAGGAAGTAAACTGACTCAAAGGATCCACTTCCACAGAGGGGCTTTTCTCACACACTCCGTAATCATTCACATTTCTTCCCCTTTCATTCACACAACCTTCACTGCAGCTTTACACTAAAACGTCTGCGCCATAAAAAAACAATCAAGGTTCTCGTCTGAGCCAACCCTGATGACTGGGAACCTGAATGCACCACGAGAGCCGTTTCGCTAACGACTAAATGTGCACAGAAAGTGTCTGTAAATTAGAGGAAGGAAAAACTAAAGAGTGAGTGATTTTTGCTGCTGGAGTGAACGAAGCAAAGACAGAATAAGAGTCAGAAAATATCTCCAGTCTGGCTTTTAACTGATTCTTGAATGCATTTCGATCAACTAACAGTTGTTTGTTTTCAAATAATCTAGAGAAGCAAGAAAGCAAGTGCATGTGGATGTAAAAGTAGGACAGAAAGCGAGTTTTCTTTAAAATGCTAATGTTGCTCCGTATATCAACGTGACTGAGTGCATGTTTGGTTCAAATAGGACACAGGTGTTTCAGTTCACCTCAAACGGCTCACATTCTGCAAACTGTGCAGCCGCAGCGCCAGTTTTCCTGGATTTTACCCTGAATTCATGAAGAAGGTTCTGAAAGCACAAAGGTGTCACCTCATGTTCTGCTGCGGTTTGGATCCAACTGAAGCTAAGTTCACAGGGCAGCTAAACGCAAACTGAATCTGATTTACCATCCACGTGAACTGGATGGTACATTTACAAAACATCAAATTTATCTTTGGGTTTCACCTCCTCAAATTTAAGACTTTTTAAGACCTTTGAATGCCATGATGGGGGGAATTTGAGGCTTGTATTCCACAGAAATGTAGAGTTTTTGCATTTACTTGTTGACATATTAGCCATGATACGGACATAAAAGCTAGCTGGCTAGCAATAATATGTTAGCAGCTAATTAGCAGAAGCCTCAAACTGCTAACAGCTTCCATATGCAAACCTAAACTGGATACAAACATTGGGTTTCTTTAAGATTAACCAACTCAAATTTAAAACTGTTTAAGTCGTAAACACCATTAGGAATTAAATTTAAGACCCTCATCTCCACAGAAATGGACAAACTTTGCTCATCTGACTGCTGATAACTAGCTAACTAGCTTAGCATACTACTGCTAACCGCTTCCATACAGAGAACTAAACCGGGTTTAAGGTTCCTTTATGTTCCACCAATTCAGATTTAAAACCTTTTAAGACCTTCTGGAGGCTCTTAGGGAAAATAAAGTCAGAAATCAGTGAGAAAGGCAATAGAAATCCTCTTGATTGATGGGGTTAAATTATGAGATGCACATCAGAATATTTTTTTATTTAATTGTTATTTTACCACAATAAAACCCAACAAGCTTAAAAACATCTTTTGCAAAGGAGTCGTGGCCGAGAGGCAGCGACAAACAACACATAAAATTATTTAAAAGAAAATGAAGGGAAGGCGGTAAAACTGTTTGCAACTTCACAAATAATGTCATTTACTTAATTACTTTTATTTGAGTCATTTCATTTCAAAGTACTTCTACTTTCACTCTACTCTCTACTTTTTGCCAACCTCCAATTTCTTCTTGAAATTAAACAACAAATTCTCAGTTTTTTGCAGAAATTTGCTCCATTTTTCTTCTGTTATCTAGAATCAAAGCCCCTATTGCTCTTATAAAGTATAATATTAAATATTAAACATATCTGCAGCTCCAAAGTGTCTCGGTTTTGTTGAGAGAAACTTCAGTACTGAAGTCGTAACTCAGCTTGTCCTCCGTCTCCCGTCTCCGTTCTTCACTCAGTTCATTCACAAACCATTTGTTTGTCAGCAGGCAACAAAAACTTCTCTTTCATGTCAGAGTGTCATAAATCCTCTTTCTTTTGCTTTTTTCCCTCCCCTGACAAAAACAGAGAAACCTCAGGTTTTTGGATAGTCTGCTACCAGTACGTTTCTTATTTTCTGTGCCATGAAAGTAGCTTTATATTCACAACAAAGGCGAGAGTCGCAGTCTCCAGAAGCCCTGAAGGATCTGTGGCGTTTTATTGTTTGTGTTTTTACACGACACACCAGCGGGGTTCGCCTGGAAAGGCGGTAACCTCAGGGAGTCGGAAGTGGCAGCGACAAACACTCCGAACGAAAGAGAAAAGGCCTCAGTGGGGTTTTTGATATCTAACAAACTCAGGTAACCAAATATTAAAATCAGCCTCTCTGACTCACTTCAGACAGGAACAAAACCCCGATTCGGTTTCCTTTTGAAGAGCACTCACAAATCCCTCTCCGCTCCAGAAGTTTCTGCATCCACTTCCTCAAACTTGTTCAAAGATTTTTTTTTTCTAAAGTCGCTTTAGAGGATTTTGTGAGATTCATCAGAGGAGCTGAGTCAGCGTTTAACTCCTGCTGGTTCCAGTAAGGAACCATATTTATACATATTGTGACCATAAATACAATTAGTAATGTGTTTATACACTGTTGTTATTAGCAAAACTAATAACAACAAAATATTCAATAATAATTGAGGTTTTGTTTGATTTTGGACAAACTCATTTAAAAGTGCACAGAAAACATCCAAACAAAACATTTTCTATTCTTAAGGGTTTAAAATGGGATTTTTCTGCAGCATGTTTAATTTGTGTATTAAATTGTGCTTTTATTTGGTATTTATAAATACACATTGTTATTAAAACATCAATGTAAAATATTCAGGGCTAATCTGGTGACTATTTTTGGATTGATAGATCAATAATTGGACATATTTATAGACAAAGATGTATATGTTTATGTCATGGAGTGAGGTGATGGAGGTGGTGAGGCAGACGCTGGAGACCAGGTAAGTGAACGGTGGTGTAATTAAATAACAAAAAATCCACAAAAACAGTCCAAACAGTAGTCCGCGGCCAGGCAGCACGGCTGAGCAGAAGCCAGGGCTCACACCGGTAGCAACTGGTCTTAAGGGCGGCACAAAAAAACAACAACGACAATCTGACAACGACAAACGATGACAAGGACCCGACGAGGAACAAAGGACACAGGAGGGACTAAATACACTGAGGGTAATCAGTGACACACCTGGAACAATCAAGGGGAAGACAGGACAACTAGGAGAACTCAGGACACAGAAACTCAGAATTAAACACAGAAAAACACAGAACCTGACAGTACCCCCCCCTTAAAGGGCGGCTACCAGACGCCCAAAAACAAAATCCAAAACCCAAAAACCAGGGTGGGCGGAGGAGCGACGGCAGGAGGGCCAGAGTCCAGAAAACAAAAAACTACCCACAAAAGGTGGGCGGAAACACAAGGAGGGGCCAAGAGTCCAAAACTAAAACAGAAAGAGGGCAGAGGCGTCGAGGGGGGTCCGGAGGGCGTCCTCGGCGCCCGCGGCAGACCCCACGGGGGAGGTCCGGAGGGCGTCCTCGGCGCCCGCGGCAGACCCCACGGGGGAGGTCCGGAGGGCGTCCTCGGCGCCCGCGGCAGACCCCACGGGGGAGGTCCGGAGGGCGTCCTCGGCGCCAAGGAGCACTAGGGGACTCGGGAGGAGCACTAGGGGACTCGGGAGGAGCACTAGGGGACTCGGGAGGAGCACTAGGGGACTCGGGAGAGCACTAGGGGACACTGGAGGAGCACTAGGGGACACTGGAGGAGCACTAGGGGACACTGGAGGAGCACTAGGGGACACTGGAGGAGCACTAGGGGACACTGGAGGAGCACTAGGGGACACTGGAGGAGCACTAGGGGACACGGGAGGAGCACTAGGGGACACGGGAGGAGCACTAGGGATCTCGGGAGGAGCACTAGGGATCTCGGGAGGAGCACTAGGGATCTCGGGAGGAGCACTAGGGATCTCGGAAGGAGCAGAGTCCACGGAGGCCGGAGCGGAATCCGGCGGAGCAGGAGCAGGAGCCGGAGCGGAATCCGGCGGAGCAGGAGCAGGAGCCGGAGCGGAATCCGGCGGAGCAGGAGCAGGAGCCGGAGCGGAATCCGGCGGAGCAGGAGCAGGAGCCGGAGCGGAATCCGGCGGAGCAGGAGCAGGAGCCGGAGCGGAATCCGGCGGAGCAGGAGCAGGAGCCGGAGCGGAATCCGGCGGAGCAGGAGCAGGAGCCGGAGCGGAATCCGGCGGAGCAGGAGCAGGAGCCGGAGCGGAATCCGGCGGAGCAGGAGCCGGAGCGGAATCCGGCGGAGCAGGAGCAGGAGCCGGAGCGGAATCCGGCGGAGCAGAGTCCACGGAGGCCGGAGCGGAATCCGGCGGAGCAGAGTCCACGGAGGCCGGAGCGGAATCCGGCGGAGCAGAGTCCACGGAGGCCGGAGCGGAATCCGGCGGAGCAGAGTCCACGGAGGCCGGAGCGGAATCCGGCGGAGCAGGAACGGCAGCCGGAGCGGAATCCGGCTGAGCAGGAACGGCAGCCGGAGCGGAATCCGGCGGAGCAGGAACGGCAGCCGGAGCGGGGTCCGGCGGAGCAGGAACGGCAACCGGAGCGGGGTCCGGCGGAGCAGGACGAGGAGCAGAGGCTGGAGCTGGGGCTGGGCTGGCGGAGCGGATGTCTGGCCTGGGAGGCAGAGGTTTAGCATCCCAGGCCGCGAAGGCTGTCTGGCGTATCTCCTCTGCCTCCCGCTGCAGCTCCACCAGCGCGGGGTGCTGGAGACGTGGAACCCAGTAGTCCAGCAACATACCCAGGCGTATGGCGAACCCTAGACGTCTGAGGGCGAACGTGGACGTGCTCTTTGAATCCTCATACTCCTGGATCGTTCGGAGCAGCTCCTCTACACCCTCTGGGTCCATGATGTTAAAACAGCGAGCCTCACCGTATTCTTGGTCGGGTCCTTCTGTCATGGAGTGAGGTGATGGAGGTGGTGAGGCAGACGCTGGAGACCCAGGTAAGTGAACGGTGGTGTAATTAAATAACAAAAAATCCACAAAAACAGTCCAAACAGTAGTCCGCGGCCAGGCAGCACGGCTGAGCAGAAGCCAGGGCTCACACCGGTAGCAACTGGTCTTAAGGGCGGCACAAAAAACAACAACGACAATCTGACAATCTGACAACGACAAACGATGACAAGGACCCGACGAGGAACAAAGGACACA